TTTACCAACCAAATGTGACCGTTTGACACCCGGACCGCATTCAAATTCAAAAATCCTGCATTTGTGGCCCCCTCTAGCGCCGGGCTGCGTCCCGACCGAGCCAGGGCGTCAAACTCAGTGACTCTTTGGGAAGTTTTAATTAGCTTCGAGCTGGGCTCCAGCAAAAGTTAAATTACTGGCCACGTATCAAGCAACAAACAACTTACTGTCAATGTATGCTAGCATACATTGGAGCTTCAACAGCAAATGCTTAATCACTCTGTATCTGGAAAGTAAGACCTTTTTCAACTATTAAATAATACTAAATTAAGAATGGAGACGTGATAGAACAACGCTGCTCAGTGTCAAAGTCATTGTCATCTCTCCTCGAGGCCTAGTTTAGCTATGTACATTGTTTTCTCCAGTACAAAGGGTGCAATACACTAATATACTAAAACTTTTGTCAGTTTTTACTTTAAAAATAATTTGCAATTGTAATAGTATTGTTTTCCACCTAAAGACGCGAGAAATACAGCGCGTGGGTGTTAACATTTCTTCGGAAAGGTTTGAACAAAGCACATCACTGTTGGGGTTCGTCCTTTGGTGTGTGGAGGGGTAGGGTAGGCCCTGTTCTGTGGGTGGACTTAACATTTTCACTTGGGTCGGGAGAGGAGGGGGGAGGGATGTAAACAGAGCTGGCAGAGTTGATGCGAGTCACGTCGGGGTGGGGCGTCGGGGGGCGCAGAGTGGGCGGGGGAGGGTATGGCGAGGATGACGTCATCGCGTCCTATCGATCCACAGCGCAGTCCCAATCCCGCCCCACCCTCTCCCAGCAGCCTCCACCTGCATGCCGCGCCCCTTCGCGCCCCACCGCGTCCCAGCTCGCCCAGCTCGCCCGCCCCGCCCTGCCTCGCCCCGCCTCGCCCTGCTGCGAACGTTCTGCTATGAACGTTCTGCACTCGCCGCTTTCCTCAGCACTCGCTGGTCAGAGTGTCTGTCGGTGTGCGGGCTCGGGCTCAGCCCCTGCACCGCCCTCCCGCGCCTGCCCTGCCAAACGCGCGCCCACTCGAATCAGCTGATGTGATGTGTCGTCCTGTGGGCCGGTGGGCCGGCCCAGGCCGGGCAGGCGCCCGCGAGCACGCTGTACGCTTTGTGTACACACTGCGCCCGTAGCAGCGGCAAGAACTAAGAGGACGCGAGAGGCGGCAGGGGAAAAAGAAAGAGGAGGAGAGGAGAGGCTAGGAGGAGTGCGGAGGAGGGGGCCCCCCCAATGTCATTGCCAAGGTCGTGCTCGCTTTGCCACGACGCAAGGTTAGGCTTAGGGGGAGGGGCGCGGGCGGAGGCGGGGCAGGGGCCGCGCGGAGGGGAGGGGGCACGAACCTCTCTCCGCGCATGCCCCGGCCCGGCCCGCGCTCACTCCCACTGCACTGCAGTCGCCGAGTGTCACAGTCTGTATACAGTATGGGTCTACCTCGCGAGTCGGAAAACATTTCTGCTCTGCGAAAGTTGGAAGTGTACACTTGCCACGTTTGTTTAATTATTGGTTCAAACTTGATGCATTTTAATCGCCGCTCGCTCTTTTATTTGATTGATGAAGAAAATCAAATAAAATGAAATCTATTGGTAATTTTGCTGTCATAAGGTCCATGTCAAGCCTGATTACTGTGGGTTCCTTTGGCAACCATGAAGTTGGTGTTGATGGCCCCCTCCCTTGTTGCCACGGCTGCCCTCTGCTCTGCTCGCTCTGCTCTTGGACCCAACCCCGCCCGAGTACAGCCCGGCTGCAGCGGTATCGATTGACTCCTGCCTCGCGAGTGCCTCTGCGGCTGCGTTCGGAATCACTAAGGACGCCACGGCCGTGCCTTAGGAAGAGATTCATAGAGGGCGAAAGTGGTGCAGGAGTGTCCTGGCGTCCAGTGCGCGTAACGTACGCACAATTATAAGCGATATTATGCATAATTACGTACAAAATTGTCCATAGTTGCGTACAAATTGTATACGTAAGTTATGTATGTTGACAGTTGTACGCAGCTACGCACAAAAGAGTAGATGTCATATGTCAGTGTGACTTCGCGGGGGG